TCCTCTGAGGCTGACCTAGAAAAGTTTCAAATTCCACCCACCATAGGAATACCAACAGCATGAACAACACAACTTTAATTTCTCCAGCATACATACTTGAGGTGTTTTTCTCCTCTTGTTGGTTTGCTGGCCATATCTGGCTTGTGGACACTACACATACATACAGTAAGGTAAACATGAGGAAGAGGTAAAGGATTATATAGGAAAAGTGAGGAGAAAGAAATAAAGAGGAAAGAGTTGAGTTAAAAATGAGTTAAATGAAAGTAATACTTTGGTCTCAGCATTTTAAGGTCATCTAATCTTATAGTAGAGCATGCAGGCCTAAAAGCTGTGCTAGGAAAAAAAACAAATATTTATAAAGGGAAAGTTATTTAGAATTTAATAGTATAGGTTCTGACCTCCAGCTGATCCCTGGAAATAGCTGGGAAAGCATGTCTAGGAAGCCCTTCATCCACACTAATCAGGATCTCACAATTCAGCTCAAGCAATAGAAACTATTACTGTCCTAAAAATCACTACATTTTGGTCCACTATAAATAACATGACAGAACAAGAAGACTTAAACAGAAAAATAGGAATAAAAAAAAATGACTGAGAAATAACAGATCTAAAGTTTTAGTAATGATCACACAAAGGCAGCTCCTACTTTTAAAAAGAAATCAAGGCAAAAATTCTCCTCTGGAAACACTAATCCTGCCTGCTGAGGCAGTGACATCTCATCTCATCTCAATCTGAAGCCAACTAATAGGCCAGTAGAGCTTACCAGATTTGAGGTGATGGCGGGTATTTTAGCTTGTGGCATTCGAGGTAATACCAATGGCATAGGTTCAAACTGCCTAAAAGGGCTCTGAGAATCTGTTTTTATTGTTTCAATGGTTATAACATTTCTTTCATCATCTGGGAAAAATAACAAGAGAAGAGAATCCAAATCACTACAGACTGTAAGCACTGGTACTTTTACGGAATTAAAATCCACTTGGAATGAACTGTACAGTACAAATATTGTATTTAGGCATATATCAGATTCTAGAAAGATAATACTTATTAGTTAAGCAATTCACACAGTATTCGCTTTTTTTTTTTAAAAGCTCCACAGATTTATATCTTTTTCAAATTTAAGTTCAAAACTGACCCTTACCAGTGACTGATCCTTCCCAGTGCCTGCAGACTAACTCTTCCATATAGCCCAGGACTTCACTCCATACATCATCAAACACATATGTGAGCACAGCATCTTTCATGCAGTGATATGGAGAGACAGGAGGAAAACCTAATTTCTGTCTATCAAATGGGAGTCCCATTTTCCTTTCATGCAATTCTTCCTCCCTGTAAAGAGAGTGAGAAAGATTTATACCTGGACTTAGATTAATTGCTTTCTCTGTTCCCCACTTTTTGTTGCAATTATTTACTGCGTTTAATCACCGGTTATGATGTTAGTTATAAATGTGTCTCTCTGACTATTTCCTCTGAAGTCAACATGTCGTATTTCTCATACAATATTAGTTTGTTGAGAGCTGACAGCGCACTTAACAAATATTAGCTATCCCACTGAATCCAATCTCATAGGCAGCAAACTATGCTGGATATGGCAATGGAATGGCAGTCTACTCCAGAGACTGTTACTAACTTATTTTACAAATCATTTTACCTCTCCATGCGCTGTCTCAATTTATGAGTATAATGATAGTTACTCTTTTACAAAATTATTTGAGATTCACAAATGAGGAATTCAATGTAAGAAACAAATATTTATGTTTATAAACTAGGCACTTCTGGTGAGATAGTAATCTTCATTTACCTCACAACTAGACAACCATCTAACGCACATCACAGCGAATGCCCCATGTTTAGAGACAGAGAGGATACTAACTACAGCTTTGTATTATAACTTCCAGCCTATTGATCTAACAGCCATTAAAAACTTAGGAAAAAAAGTAATTTAATTTCAAATAATGAGAAATAAACAATTGCTAGTTCATCAGTAGCTAGGGCCCCCATCTATGGCATCTTCTACAGGACCAGTCTATTGGGCTCTGAAGCATGGGAGACATTTACTCCGTGCAAGAGCATGCTATATCTGCCAAGAGAGATTTCAAATGACATGACAATAAAAAGCAGAGACTGGAGCTATTTTTACAGCATCAGTATCTGCTACTTGATTTAGTACTTAATATCAAAAAGCTACGAACTTTGAAAACAAAAAAAGGCAGCACTAAAGGAAGTATATTTTTAAAAGGGATTAATAGTGCCTCAGAAATTCTTTGCTGGTTAATTGTTCACTGCTGGCATATTTCCTACTTCTCCACGTCCTTCATGAAGTATGGAGCCCAGAATTGGATGTAGTACTCCAGCTGTGGCTTCACCAAGGCCGAGTAAAGCAGGAGGATGACATCTTGGGTCTTGCTTGAGATGCATCAGTAGATGCAAGCCAGGATTTTATTTGCTTTGCCAGCTGCAGCATTGCATTGGTGGCTCATATTCATCTTGTGGTCAATCATGACCCCCAAGTCTCTTTTGGAAACTGATACATGCCATGTATCAGTATAAAAATCACAATCTGTACAAGTAAGTGGCTCTTTGATTTTTTTCAAATCAATTCAAAACTAATTGACAATCAGAAGTTCGTGCTTATTTATTAAGAAGAAAGCTATGTCCTTGCACTGGGCAAGTCGCACAAAGTGGCAGGTCTTACCGAAAACTTTTACGTCCTCCTTTTGCTGGAAGCAAATGGGGATTATTATTATTTATTTTATAAATACCAAGTCCATAATAACTCCTAATTGCTACTGAGGAAGTGGAAAGGCACAATACCATATAAGTAACAACAGTCTGGACACCAAAATGCAGAAATGGAACCAAGCACACTGTTGCTTAACAAATAACAATAAACTTCAACTTGATAGGCAGAAAAGCACCCTGTAGATAAATTTACTGATTACAGACCATTATGCAACAGGAACAGCCTTTGGTTATTGTGGAATAAACACAGAAGAAATAGCGTAAAGAATTATAAAAAGAAGATACAAAATTTTGAAGCAAAAGTACTAATTCAAGGGTTTGGTTAGATATACATCGTTTCCCAGCTCTTCTCCATCAGACGACTTAAAATTTCTCTACAGGTGTAAGATTTCTGAAACAAGTTTTCTATCACATGGATGATCTTTCAGTGTCAAGAACAAATACAATATGTCTTATCATTAAGAAGCAGAAATTCCAGGCTAGTATTACTTGTATCTTTATATTTTAATAATTTAATACTTACGCATCTTTGCAGTCAAATGCTAAATATTCTTCCATTATTCCTTCAGAGACAATCACTCCATCTTCACTTTCTTCAGTCTCCATGGAACACAGGACAGGTGATTTTGGAAAGTCAATGCCTTTATGAATAGGAGTAACAGAAAGAGGTACCTTCTTGCCAAAAACACTAAACCTGAACACAGAAAATTTTTGTCAAAAATCAGAAAATAAAAGGAACGTACCATTCTGTTTATAACAGCAGCACTCAGCTTTTCCTTTGAAGTGGATTAAGAGGCATGGAAACTTTTGCTTAGGTTGCCATAGGACAAGTATCGAGGACGACAATTATCCTGTGTATTGTGGCTATGAACTTCTTAGATTTTTGTATTTTAATGCTTACTAAAGTGCTCAAAGAAGAAGTTATAAAAACAAGTTTAAATAAACACTATGCTAAAATAGTGCTTTGTATCTTTAAACCACCTTAGAAATATTCATAAGAATATAATATAATTGGCAACAAAAACAGCTGCTGTATATACAAATCCTCAATAAGCCAACACTGAAAGTCAGTAGGTTTGTTTATTAGCCTACCGTACCACAACAATAGGCCTAGTTGAAAGGTCTTACACCTTCTTGAATGTAATATAATACTTCTTTTAACTAACAGACTATACTCTCCTCAAATACTCAACCCAAAACAATGTTGATGTTTGACTTCATATGCAGCTCATAAATTAAGAAACAAGTTGATCTTTGCAATCCTTGGATAGTAGCATAGTCTTCATATATTTGCACGTTGAAGGAGAATTAATGATACTTACTCACTAAAATCTTTTTCTGGAGCTTGACTTATGTCTAAGGAACCTAAGTTGTCAGAAAGTGAACTTGAATACCATTCATACCCTTCATCTGTAGGGATTACTACCTGCTTTCCCAGTATCCTATGATATTAAAAAGAACATTAAAAAAAAGTCAGAAAATGCTGTGAGTAATGGTTGAAGTTAGCACGATTTATAAACAGAAATTTTGACACTGAACGTATTACTGGGAATCCATGTGGACACCAAGACTATAGAAAATAAGTGTGCTTGCTTGTTCTCATATTCACAGATCTCTTTGACAAACTTTTCTCACCTGAAAGATGTTCTACTTTACTGATAAAATGTACATGTAGTTTGCATTAAGAGAATTTTTGGTTTTATTGTTGTTGAATATTAAATGTTTCCAATATTAGCAAGTCTATCGAAGTACAAGAGCTAAAAATGTAAGCAAGAGATGTAAATCTCGAAATAACCTTCGTAAACTAATGAGCTATTTATCTGCAGAGAGGAAATTTTAGTCTTTTTCAAGTAAAATATCAAAAAATAGACATCTACCACTAATTACCATGCCTTGCATCTTTTTCAAACATTATTTTAAGGCCCAAGCCAGATGAATATAACAACAGTACTCCAAATAATTATGAGCTCTATAGCACTGGATGGGCTGTTTATTAATAATGGTGAAATTAGTTATTGAATTAGACAGACCACATACTTCATCTTCCTACATTGTTACCATTACATACATTTGTAGCAGTTCTAATGATGTTTAAAATAAAAACTTTTTACCACTAGAAATTCAGCTCTTTTATAGTTCTGTAACATTGCCAGCATTAATCCAGCAATAAAATACCTGAGATGAGGAAAGCTAGATGTCCACTGTTGGCACTCTTCCTGCAGATCCTCAACATGCACGCTTGCTTTCTGTTCATATAAAAGTTCATCAATTTGTCTGAACATCTGCTGGACTTGTCGTGTGGCAGCTTTGTCAAATTCCTTGAGAAAAAACGTTATCCAGAAAAGGTTAACGAACAAGATTTGAGGTATTTTTTGTAAAGCAACTCAAACTGGAAAAAAAAAAAAAAGCATTTGTTTAAATTTCAGCAGAATTGACCTAAACAATAGGGACCTCTCTGACATACGGACACATAAGATCATCTTTCCACTGGAGACAATGCAGACTGACGTAAGTGCTGATACAATAGTACATACAAAATTTGGACCAACACAGTCTCCGTTGGCTGCTTTAACAACAAAGGTTTTGAAATGTTTGTTTTAACTAAATAATAGCAAAAGAAAACTGTATGGCCTTTGAGACATGGCAATTCAGGAAAAACAGTTAGAAACATAACAAATATGATCCTTCTAATCTTTTGATGATACACGAAAATATTAATCAGGACCGCAATAGTAGCAAGGATTTAAAAAAAACCCAACAAATGCAAAACCAAAAAACCTCTATGAGCAATACAAAAGGTTACCAAAACTTTATGAAACCAATAGATAATCAAGAGCCAGCAAGTGATAACTTACTTATGTTTTGAAAGCTTTAACCTAAGAATACTGAATCAATTATTCCTAGATATATTCTGAGCAAACAGTAAGGAAGTGTCAGAGGGAGAGTTAAGAGAAAGAGCTTTTCTTCTCCCATGACTAATACTATAGCATTATGCAGGGCTCTCACTTTAACTTTGAAAGCTTGCAAAATGTACTCACAATGCTAATTTAACTCAACACAATGTTTCCATTATCTTTCCTGTATTTAATATGGAGGACTGTGTTCTACTCACATCATAGCCCCAGGAGAAGACTGAGCTGCCTTCAGTGGAGGTGCCTGCGTAACTCTGGCTAGCAGACCATGAGTTCCCATTGTCAGCTGATGTAGTAGCTGGACAATCTGAATCCTTCAAGAGTTCAGGCTCACTAAAATGCCGATTATGCAGGGGGGAGGGGAAAAAATGCTTATAGGTGGATAAATAAATTAGAGACATTCACAAGTAGGTGAAGTACTTTTTACTTTGTGTACAAAAAAGGGATATGTATCACAGCTTAGCTCTCAGAAGCCCTTTCTGTGTGATAAATATTTAATTTGCAGGCATTTGGGCAGACACCACAGTGCACATATGCCCATCTAGCCCAGACCCTGACATAAATTTACAAAAGTAAAAAAGTACTTGGCTTGGCTTCAGTGGTACATAAAGGCTGCAGGATTGAGCTCTTAAAATTCAAAGTCTTACTACCTTTCTACCTTTGATTATGTAGATAAATACTAGTTCAATTTTGTTACCTCTCAAAAATTACTCTCCCTAACTCTTTATAACATAAAATACTCAATCTACAACATTTACAAGCCAATGACAAAACAGATTTATTATCCATATTGAATATTATTCCAAAATGGATGTGCTCCTATGCATATCTACTAGGTCTTGAGAAATGTACCACATCATCCAGCCAAAATGAACCCACTAGTAAAGAACAGAGTCAATGTCCTGGTAAGAAATAGTAGGAAATCATAAAGAAGCAGGGCTGGAAAGGACCTCAGGAGGTCATCGGGGATGCAATCCCCAGCTCAAAGCAGGATCATCCCTTTCTGGACCATCCCAGCCAAGCCTGGGTTAAGCTGCTGGAAAAGGATGAAAATGTTGGGATGAAATTGTCTCCAACTTCACTATAGCTTCAATCTAGGAAGCAGTTCCATCCAGACAGACCCCTGTGGCTCTCCTGCATCCCATTTTCAAGAGCATTTATGCAGATGCAAAAGTCTGAACAAACTATCCTACTGGACTGAGGCCTATGGTACTATCTTTGGAAATCAAGCATTAGTAATGTAGTTATGTTGTTGATGATGTAATCACAAGCATAATTTTTACAGATATTTTACTTTCTTTTATAGACATAATTTTATCATTTTGATATCTGAGGACAGAATCAAAAGATGTCTGTTTATCTTATTGCCTTAAGACAAAAAACAAAGTGTCTGTTGCTATTTCAGATACCTTGAAGCTTCTTCATAACTTTCAGTGCTTGGGATAGCTGGATAAATGTCATCTAGTAGTTCTGGCAGGCGATGTTGTGCTAAGGCATTTTTTGTAAGTCTCCGTCTAAAACAAAATAAAAAAGCATAGTGTGACATCAGTTGTGACAATAAACCCCACAACTCGGAACTCCTTCTAGGGCATAAAAGGATTCTACTAGCTTTCAAGAAAAATACTGCATGTATACATAGCTGAACCTGCTTTATGTCCCCACATTAATGTCACTACACTAACAATCTACCAGTACTCTTTTACCAATTTTTATCATCATCCAAACCTTAAACTTGAGCCATAGCAAGTAACTGTTATTTGTTGTTTATTGTTTTTTCAGATATGCTTTCCAGCCCTCACAGCTGTGGGAAAGTTTGAAAATGTAATGACAGTACCAAAAGGCAAAACAGTAAAGCAAATATAAAGTACACAAACTGATTATTTTGTAAAATCTCATGACTTTTAAATCAATCATGGTTTGTGCACATCTGAACTCAGAAGGTGGAGAAAATGGAAGTTATCAGTGAAAATATAATTTAAGCATTGCTCCTGAAAGAAGTGCTATTGCTTCAGTTCGCTCTGCAGTCGTGCAGAGTTCAACCTAAAATTAAACAATGCAAGACTGCAGCCTTGGTTTGCCTATGACATTAATTTGTGAAAGTATAGTGCCAAATTCCTTAGTACTATCCAAGCTGAAAGTTATTAAAATATCTTTGTTTTTACATTTAATTCCTCAGGTGGTATCGCTGTAATGCTGCCACATAATCATAAGAGATTTCCCTAACAGATTGGATGCTGGAGTAAATGTTATCTCCAGCAGTGACTACTATCAAATGATTTAGGACAGTGGTTCTCAACCTTTTTGCCCCACTGGCCAGAAGAGTGGCCCAAAGTTGGTCCACAGGCCAGACACGAGCCCCAGATGCCAGGATCAGGCCTTGGAGGCCAGTACTGCTCCCCTCCTCCCCCACCCACAACTTGCCCCATGTGCTGGGATTGGGCCAGCAATGCTAAGTGCTGGCACTTTCCAAGGTGTGCCTTGACTCCAATGAGAAGTGCCTTGAGTCTGATAAAGCTGAGAACCACTGGTCAAGGGTAACAGTGCTACCGTTAAGGTGATTGAGCTGAGCACAAAATGGATGCCCAAATGACTGCACAAATCTATGCACAATGGTTACCTTTTGTCACTACATTTGCAAAGGCACTCAATATAAGTTAACCAGCTGTCACTACAGACTCAACCCTCATCTTCCATGCTTTTCCTACCCAGGGATCTGTTTTAGTGGTTCCCTCACCTTAGCATTTTGTTGCTACCTATGTCTGGCTGAGAACTCAAGAGTTAACCAGTAGCTTAGACTCAAATTAAGTGTGTCATTAGCAGGGATCCTGGTTTTATCCCATTAAAAATTGCAAATTGTCTAATTAAAAACACAAAATCTGTGATAAAAATCTGTGATGCCCCGCACTCCACCCCCCTCCCCGTCTCAACAGCCCTCCTGATGCCCCTTGCAACAGCCCCCCAGACCCACAGACATGCAGACACTGACACCCACCCCAGCAGGTAAGTGTGCGTGGGGGGAAGAGGCAGGGCAGGGGAAAGGGAAGGTGCTAGGGGGGTAGATCAAGAAGAGGGGGGAAGCGTGCCCCTGTGCCCAGGAGCACGGCCAGGGGTTGAGGGCAGGGATGCCATTCCGTGGGCCACACACGCCAGCCAGCCTGACAGGAGGTTAGCACATGGAGGCCGCTGCCGCCGCAAATCTGCCACTGCACCCTGCACTACCATCCCACGGCCACCTGCATGGCTTTGTGGACAAGAGGCGCAAGGCGCAGCAGCGGCAGCACAGTGGCAACCACCATGTGTGAGTCACATAACCTACTGCCTGGCCGGAGGGCGAAACAGGGGGCTTGCATGCAATGGCATGCCTCGCAACTGGCTACACGGCTCTGCAGGGTGGTGGCGGCTGCATGCAGGGTGGGGGCGCTATGTAGGCAAGCATTGCCACCATGCAGCCATGCCCTTCACCCCTGGATCCTAGAGGTACGTGAGTCATGGGGGCTGTGGGGAAGGGCTGGGGAAGATGGTTGGGGGCTGAGGGAGTGGGGGGGGCTGCCGGCTCCAGGCGGCACACCACAGCTGGGAGCAGAGCCAGGGGGTGAGGGCAGGGGAGTCCCTATGCGGGGGGCTTTGCAGGCAAGTAATGCAGGGCGTAGCGTGGTGGTGCCTGCCATGTGCGGGCTGCATACATGCCACCTGCCCAGGGGAGGGGGAAAGGGAGGCTGGCATGAGGCTGGATCACAGCTCCGTGGCCGATTCTGCAGCCATGGTGAAGGATGGGGGCTTGGGCTTGGGCTTGCACGCGGTGCTGGTGCTTACCTGGAGGCCCGTGACGGTGATGACAGCCGTTGCCTACAAAACCACCCGCTGCTGCCATGGAGCCGTGCCTGGAGCTGTGCAGCCGGCTGCTGGGTGGCAGCAGCAGCATTGTGGTGGTTGGGTGGCAGGCAGCCATCCCCACCACCATCCTGCACTGTGCCACTGCTGCCGGCTGCACAGCTCCAACCACGGCTCCACAGCTGCAGCAGGAGGTTTTGTATGCAGCAGCCATCACCTCTGTCCCTCTATGTTTATCTCTGGCTATGCGTCTATCTGCCTAGATACCCATCTATCTGTCTTCATCTATCCATCTATCTGTCTCTCCATCTACTTCTCTATCCCTCTATCTCTACCTCTGTCTCTACCCTGATACTAATATTCATCTCTCCATATATCATTTAGCTATATGCATCTGTCCCTCTCTATCCATCCATCTTTATCTCTATCCATCTCTGTCTCTGTTGCCCTCTATCTAGATATCTCTATCTAGTCATCTCTATATCCATCTCTCTCTGTGTCTCCATGTACCTATATCCCTCTTTCTCTATCCATCTATCTCCATCTCTCTAGATATCTCTATTCATACATCACCTACTTATCTGTCCATCTCCATCCATCCATCCCTCAAACCAGTCCATCCATCCAATGAACAAGACCATCCATCTATCTCTATCCATCTCTGTCTGTCTATCCATCTCTCTCGATATCCATCTACCTACATAGATATTTCTATTCATCTATCCATATATCATCTAGTTATCTGTCCATCCAGCCAATGAACTAGTCACCTATCTGTCCATTTTCATAACCCCATCCACCCATTCATCTGTCCATTCAGCCATCCATCTCCATAACCCCTGTCCATTCATCCATTCCTTACTCCTCTCCACACACCAACCGTATAACCCTGTCTACCCATCCACCCACCTATCCATCATCTCTATTTCTCTCTACCTAGGTATCGCTATCCCTCTATCCATATACCTATCATCTAGCCATCTATCTCTGTCCATCTCCACCTCTCACCATCCCTATGTTCCTGCTTTCTCTCTCTCTCTTCATCATCTCTCTGTTGCCCTGTGGTGCCCAGACCCACTGAGCCGCCAAATGGTGGCAGAGACCCAGAGCAGATCCTACCAGCCCCCTGCCCCCCCCCCACTCTCCCCAAGCCTGGTGTTTAGCTCAGCCTAGAGTGCCCAGAGGCATGGAGCAGCCCCCAGCACTGGGGAGGGGAGGCTGCAGCCTGGCTGGGGCCCAGATCATCCCTACCTGGTGGCCTGGACCCAGAATGGCCTCTGACCCCTGCCAGGTGCAGTCTGTGGGGCCACAGAGCTCTGGGAACTGGAGGGCACAGGTTTGCTGGGCAGATGCTGTGGGTAAGAGCAGGGCACACACACAGAACCCAGGCATCTGGGACACAGATACTGGGACACACAACACCCCCAGGTGTCTGGGACACATGCTCAGAACCCAAACCCCTGGGGGACACACACACACCCTGGGCATGCACAGAACCCGGGCATCCAGGACACACACATGGAATCCAGGCCTCTGGGACACACATACAGACAACACCCAGGTTTGAGGCGCACGCACACAGACATACAAACAACACCCAGGTTTGAGGCGCATGCACGCACACACACACGCACCTCTCTCTATACATCATCCAGGTTTCCAGACACACATATACACACACAATGCAGGCATCCTGGACACACACACACATGCAAATGTATACTTGCATGCAAAGGACCCAGGTGTCGAGGACACACACACAGTACCCAGGCGTCCAGGACACAGAAACACAGACACACGCTCACAGAACCCAGACATCTGGGTCACGCGCACAGTGCATACACACACGCTTTCCACACAGCAGCCCCTGTGGCGAGGTCTGAGATCCCAGGGATGGGTGCACCAGACACCCCACCCCAGGCTATGCAACCTGTCCTTCCCAGCTCAGTGTCCCCAGGGCTGGGGTCCCCTGCAGCACCACAACCCCTGAGGGCAGGCCCCAAGCCTGGCTCCTTGCCCCACTGGGGCTGCCTGAGGCCTGCCCAGTGGGGCGAGAGGAACGGACCATCAGCCAAGATCTAGAGCATCTCCGGGCCCAGCCCTACCCTGCCCCCATGCTGGCATCTGCCCCCCACTGATGCCCCAGGACGTCACGGCTGCCAATGCCACCGTGTTATGGCTGCCATCACCACCATCGTGGCTGCTGAGTAGGGTGAAGATGGCCCACGACTGGGTTACTTCAACCTTGGTGCCCAGGAACTAGCTGCCTGCTGAGCCCCACAGTCACTCCAGCTCCTCTTTCACCCTATGGGCTGGTGGCAGTGGTGGCTGCTGCTTACCTGTGGGGCTGCCTGTGCCAGCAGCGACTGCCGCTGTGTACAAACCCCCCCCTGCTGCTGCTGCGGAGCCATGCCCAGAGCTGTGCAGCCAGCAGCAGCAGCGTGGGGTGGCGGTGGGGATGGCTGCATGCCACCTGGCCACCACCATGCTGCCACTGCTGCTGCCGCCCAGTGGCCGGCTGCACAGCTCTGGGCACAGCTCTGCAGTGGCAGCGGGAGGTCTTGTAGGCAGTGGCCATCACCACCATCAAGGGCCTCCAGGTAAGCGGCAGCGCTGTGTGCAAGCCCGAGCCCGAGCCCGAGCCCAAGCCCAAGCCCCCGCCCCTGCCCCCATCCCCCACCGTGGCTGCAGAGCTGGCCATGGAGCTGTGCGCCAGCTGCATGCCAGCCTCCCTCTCCCCCTCCTCCGGGCAGCCGGACGGACGGCATGTGCGCGGCCCGCACATGGTGGGTACCACCACACTGTGCCCCACTTCACTTGCCTGCAAAGCCCCCCGCAGAGGGACACCCCTGCCCTCACCCCCTGGCCTTGCCCCCAACTGCGATGTGCTGCCTGGGGCCAGCAGCACCTACAACTCCCTCAGCCCCCAATTATCTTCCCCAGCCCTGCTGCAAGCCCCACTTATCTCCATGCTCCAGGGGCGAAGGCTGAGTGTGGGCCTGAGCCCAGCTGTGGCTGCCTCAGAGGCTCAGGCCCCACACTTCCCCCTCCCCCTCCAACCAGGGCTGGGGTTTCTTGCCCTTTTTGCAAATTGGCTCTTGCAGGCTGGATTTTGGATTTTTTTATCAAAGAATTTGGGCTTTATAAACAGAGAAAAACAGAATCCCTGGATATTAGGCTATCCTTGGAGTACTTTCTTAGGCAACTCCCCTTTTTTTCCCTGGACACCTTCTACTGCTACTTGGACATTCATGCATGGTCTGTCTGAGCCACATGCACAGCTGGGCCTTCATGATTAATGCCTCAGTAGACATGAGGTCAGCAGTTTACCTCTCTGATTGTTCCCAAGTCAAAAATATGTCCGTCCAGGAAATTCTTTCCTAATCTCTGTAAATTAAACAACTGGTTTATCCCAAGTGGGAGGGATACTAATCCGCATAACTTTATCCTAACTGCCCTGGCTGAAGATGACATCTGTCTACAGGAGTACACCCCAGGTGCTGCCCAACCAGAAAGCTCACAAAGCGCTTCACGCTCTGGGGCCGCAGTGTCAGGCTGTAGGACGCGGCGGGCAGGCGGATGCGTGCTCTACCAAGGCACAGACGGCGCCTGCGGTCACTAAACAGCCCAGGACACTTTTCGGAAGCCAGGAGCATCTTATGCCCGGGCCGGCGACTGCAGTCCGCCGCCCAAAGCCTCCCCTGGCGGAAGCCTTGTCCTGCCCACCGAACCACTCCTACTCCAGGGCGAGGGGACAAGCCTTGCTGAGAGGGCAGACAGGGCAGCCCGTGGCTGGAGATCAGGACGCGCCACAGGGCCGTGGCGGTGGCGTTGCCGGCCCCGGCCCCGGCCTCGGCCCCACCTCACTCACGTCTCCAGGACGTCGGGGGGCACCGGCTTCCGCGTGTATCGCGAGACCATGATCCGCCGCCTCAGCGTGGCCCCCGGCGC